CTCCAAGATTGATCTGAGGTCCGGATATCATCAGGTAAGAGTGGGAGAGGAGGACGTGGAGAAGACCGCGTTCCAGACTCGTTATGGGCATTACGAGTTCGTGGTGATGCCATTTGGGCTCACTAATGCACCTGTGGTGTTTATGGATTTGATGAATCACGTGTGCAGGCTGATGCTCGACCGATATGTCATAGTCTTCATTGATGATATCTTGGTGTATTCCAAGACTAGAGAGCAGCACGAGGAGCACCTTCGAGAGCTTTTCGGAGTATTGAGGCTGGAACAGTTGTATGCCAAGTTCTCAAGTGTGAGTTTTGGTTACGAGAGGTCCAGGTCCTGGGACATCTTGTTAACCAATATGGGATTTTGGTCGATCCGACCAAGATCCAGGCTGTGATGCAGTGGGAGGTTCCAAAATCTCCCTCAGAGATCAGGAGTTTCTTGGGTTTGGCGGGATACTATCGGAGATTTATTCAGGAATTCTCCAAGATCGCACTACCCCTCACCCGTCTGAAAATGAAGGTAGTGGATTTTTTATGGGGCCCTAAGCAGCAGGATCGTTTTGAGACGCTGCTATGGAGGTTACGTGAGGCCCCGGTGTTGACCCTTCCCGAGAGTGTTGAGGATTTCGTGGTATTTTGTGATGCATCCATCACTGGTTTGGGTTTGGTCCTTATGCAGAGGGGACGAGTGATTGCTTATGCTTCTCGGCAGCTGAAGCCGCATGAGGCGCGGTATCCTACTCATGACCTTCCGTTGGGGATAGTGGTGTTTTCCCTCAAGATTTGGAGACATTATCTTTATGGGGTCCGTTATAATTTTTACACGGATCACAAGAGTTTGAGATCTCTTATGGACCAGCCGAACCTGAACATGAGGCATCACAGGTGGCTGAACGTAGTCAAGGATTATGACTGAGAGATCCTTTACCATCCGGGTAAAGCGAATGTGGTAGCGGATGCTTTGAGCCGCAAGTCGGCTGGATCTTCAGTGGGAGACATGTGTATGAGGATATCCGTTGATTCTCCACTTTTGGGTTTGATCAGAGAGGCACAGGCTGAGGGTGTTCAGAAGGAGAACTAGAAACAAGAGAGGATCAGGGGTGAGATCAACAAGTTTGTCACCGATAGTCGGGGGTTGTTGACCCGATGCGGTCGGGTTTAGGTTCCAGTTTCTGGTGGGATCAGGCAGATAATGTTGGAGGAGGCTCATAAGTCTCGCTTTTCTATACACTCGGGAGCCACCAAAATGTATCGGGATTTGAGATTGAATTATTGGTGGCCATGTGTGAAGAGGGAAATACCCTGGTACGTTGAGAGGTGCTTCACCTGTAGGATGGTCAAGGCCAAGCATCAGAGGCTACATGGCAAGCTGCAGCCTTTGGAGGTTCCCATGTGGAAGTGGGAGCAGATCACCATGATTTTCTCAGCAAATTGTCGAAGACTGCCAAGGGTTTTGATGCTATATGGGTCACCATGGATTGATTGACCAAGAGTGCCCAAACTTTTGGCCATCTCGAAGAGCTCTTTGGGCGAAAAGTTGGCCGATGTATATGTCCGAGAGATTGTTGCTCATCATGTGGTTCCGGTCTCCATTGTTTCAGACCAAGATGTTCGGTTCACTTCCCGATTCTGGTAGAAGTTCCATGAGGAACTGGACACGAGGCTACATTTCAGCACTGCTTATTATCCGCAGACTGACGGTCAGAGTGAGCGGACCATCCAAACCCTTGAGGATATTTTGTGGGCTTGTGTCATAGATTTCAGTGGGAGTTGAGATTCCTACCTACCTCTTGCAGAGTTTTCCTACAACAACAACTATCACTCCAACGTTGGTGCCCCACCTTTTGAGCTCTTGTATGGTTGTAGATGTCGTACCCTAGTATGTTGGGGATAGGTTAGTCATAGGGTCATGGGAAGGACCAAAGTTGTCCCTCAGACCACAGAGCTTATTCAACAGATCAGACAGACCGCTCAGAGTCAGCATAAGAGTTATGCCGGTTGGCGTCGATCGGGGTTGGAATTTCAGGTCGGCGATATGGTATTACTGAAGGTATCACCCTGGAAGGGTGTAATACGCTTCAGGAAGAGGGGGAAATTAGGTCCCCGGTATATTGGACCTTTCTGGTTGATCGCCAGGGTGGGCAGGGTGGCCTACCAGTTGGATTTTCTGAGTGAGCTCAGTCAGATCCATAACACCTTCCACGTGTCTCAGTTGCGGAAGTGTTTTGGACGGTGATCTAGTGGTCCCCTTGGATGATAGTCAGGTCAATGAGTGCCTGAATTATATTGAGAGGCCGGTGGCTATATTGGAGAGAAAGATGAAGGTCATGCACAAAAAGGAGATACCTTTGGTAAAGGTTCAGTGGCATCATCGGAGAGGCTCCGAGTGGACCTGGGAGCCGGAGGCCGAGATGCGGGAGCATTATCCTGAGTTATTCGCCACAGCCGACTTCGAGGATGAAGTCTAGTTCAACTAGGGGAGAATTGTAACATCTTTCCTTGATGTACTTTCCTTTTTACCCTTATATTGAGATTTATTGCATTTTGGTCCTTAAATGTAAGACTTGTGGATGGGAGGGACTATTATGGCCATTTTTGGAATCGTGGGGCGGAGCCACGTACGCTGGGCGTACATTTGCATACGTTGGGCGTACGTGGTGAAGTCGCAAACCCTAATATTTAGGGTTTGGACCCTATTTATTCATCATTAACTCTCAAACCTGGTTCCTTTCATCAGCCTCCATCCTCTCAAAACGTTTTTGCAAACCCTAATCTACCTTATGAGCATTTTTGAGCTTGAGTGTGTGTGTTTTGTGCCTTTGAAAAAGAAGAAATGAAGTAGAGACCATCTTGGAGGAGTGAAGCACCTTAGATCCACAATTACACCATCATTTGACAACTCTTGTAAGTATAAAGCTCTGAACTTGGTGAGGTTATACTTAGATCTTATTTAGGGCTTGATTTTATTTTCTTTTGGTCCCCTAAGCGTGGTATTATGAGTAGGGGTTACTCTAATCCATTTGAGTTGTCCTTTTAGAGGTTTTGGAGCCTCTTGAGTCATAAAAATGTAATCTTGGACAATAGTTTCTTCTCATGCATGGTCTTAATGGATTAATAGATTAGGATCTTTGCTGTTGGGCACTTAATAGCAATGCAAGACCATAAAGTTGCAAAACTTTATGGTGAAAGACATCATTTTGGACTTGGATCTGGAAAATGGACTTCAGGGCTTAAGGATTAATCTCTTAATGTGATAGGTTGGTAACCAGTTGCGTATGTTGGGCGTACAAGGCGTACGTTGCGCATACGTGGTCAACAAGCCCGTGCCTAGCCAATCATTGAGTACGTTGGGCGTACTCATATAGGTTGAATCGGTTGACTTTTTGGGATTTTTGACTTTTACCTGATTTTGACCAACTTTGACCTAGGGTAATTTTGGGTATTTTGGATTGTGTTTGAGAATTGGTCGTTGGGATGGATAGGTGACGATAAGAGTTGAGATGCGGAGTCGAGACCTCATCAACTATTGTTCGAACTGTGAGGTGAGTTTTTCCTCACAGTACTTTGGGGTCGAAGGCACCAAGGCCGGCGTATTGGATTAATATCCTGGTTTACCTTATGTTGCTATGCCATAGTGATCTGTTAGATCTGTATCCTAGTTTATAGGATGTTGCTATGTGGTAGTGATCTGTAGATCTGCCAGTTTGACTATTGACTGATTATATGTTTATCTGTTATACATATATCGACATATTGTGTTGATTTGAGGTTGTACTACTTTGTGTTGTAGCCAACAAACCCGGGAGCATTCTAGATATGAGCTGAGAGTCAATTGGCATGCTAGACTCATACCGAGGGCTCGGGAGCATTCCAGATGCGAGATGAGGCCCCAAATGGCATGCTAGACTTGTATTGAGGGCCCGAGGGTACTCCAGTCCAATGACTGAGTGGACCCGTTGTATATTGGCATTCCAGTTCGATGACTGATTGGGCCAGGGGTAATCTAGACCGATGGCTGTAGATTCGGGGGTATTCCAGTCCGATGACTAATTGGACCCAGCATGCTTGTTCTTGTATGTTATGCATTTTCTGTGGTGGTACTTTGGGGGAAACTCACTTTACGTTGGCTTATAGTTTTTGGTTATGGTTTCAGGTACTTCCGAGGATCGCGGGAAGGCGAAGGCGTGACCGTACACATCCTGATTTTCTGTTACTGATATTGGAAAACTCTGTTTTGAACAATGTTGTGAAAACAATGGTTTTGTAAACACTTTTATTAGTAAATGGGTTGATTTGAAAAGTTTAAATTGGTTGTGATTTTTGAGATGTTATAATACCCGACTTACTTTCTTATATTATAAACTGAATAGGTACACTGCCTATAAGTGCATCAGTAGTTAAGTTAGGTTAGATTATAAATTTAAAACTGTTAGATATAAATTGCACACATCACACATTCTCTTTTCTCAGGTGTCTGGTGCGGCTCCTCATGCATACAATAAATATGCATGTGGTGTTTTTTTTATCAACAATACTAGTTTGGTGTAGCTCCCTAATAATTGTATATGTACGTGTTGTTTTTTATCAACAGTAGTAAGAGTTTGGTGTGGCTCCTTAACGAGAAGTGTAAACATCACAAAAATTATTCCACCAATTTTAGCTCTTTGTCATCTCTCTATTCAAATTCTGTAAACACTGCAAAATTATAGTGGAATATTTATCGGCTTCCTCCGCCCGTGGTTTTTCCCGATTTGGGTTCTTCCACGTAAATCCTTGTGTCTCCTTTATTTTATCGTTTTCATTTGTATCTTATCGGTGGTTGATTACATTTGATATTTTAATTCCATTCCGCGTCGAACTACTATTATTCTAAATTACTCGGATTCTTGGGACGTGTTTCACACACGTATTACTACATATACAACAAGAATTAAATCACACGAGCTAAATAACTAATTCCTAAATACACGTCAACTACATACAAGAGACTTGGAATACATGGTTTGTACAGGTCACATACTTTGTGTAACATATAAAAAATTTATTATGTGGTTAAAATATAACAATTTTTTCTTAAATTTTTCTAAAAATTAGACAAAAAAATAAAGATCATGTAACAATACCTATACAATTTTGGCAAGGTATACTGCAAATTGCTTATAAACACTATGAAATGTGCCCAAAATAACATGTTTTGGAAGCTATAGACATCTATAGACAGCTGACAATGTGTCCTCGTGAAATTGACCACAATGGACTCGATGTGATTCCCATACTTAGTGTTAAGGCAAAAAAAACTTAAGTGTTAAAGTTTTTATAAAGATAATAAACTATATCTTCTAAACATATTTAGTTAATTATGGTTTTTTAATTTACACATATAATCATTTATATATGTTTTTTTTAGGGTAATAAACGAACTGAACGAACGTGAACGAAGCTTGTTCATGTTCGTTTATTTAAGTTGGTTGAACAAATAAAGGAATACGAACGGATAAACGAACGATTTTAATTTCATGTTCGTTCCTTTAACAAATTATATTGTTTATGTTCGTTCGAATATTATATTCGTGAACATGCTAAACAAACATAAGTGAACGTAGATAAACATACATAATTGAACATATATGAAAATAAACAAACATATAATATAGTAATGTAATCAAACACAATTGAATACATATAAACATAAAATGAACATAAACGGACATAAACGACGTAAATGAACAACATAAATGAACGTTCAAGAACATAAATTAACGAACGAGACTATTGTTCATGTTCGTTCATTTAACTAAACGAACGAGAATTTGTATTCATTTTCGTTTGTTTATTAGATAATAGAACATAAACGAACTTCCGGTTTAACGGTTCACAAACAATTCGTTGAACGTTCGGTTCGGTTCGTTTAGAGCCTTACATGTACACATTACCTTTACAATTCATTAAACCAAAAGAAAATTATGAGACCTCATTATTTCTATTTATATTTTGCAGCAGAAACACGTTCTCAACTCAACTGTCAACTCTTAATGGCCTAAGAGGAAAATATATATGTTTAAGTTTTTCTTATACAAACGTGTATATATGACTTGTTTCTTTAATCCGTTTGTATATTAAAAGATTTAAAGCATTTTCTAAAGGATACACATTTTGTATCTTCAAGACACCCTGGAAGATGCCAAAAACAACGTGGTTTTGACATAAACTTTCTATAAATGTTTTGCAAGATGCATTATAAAATGCATGATTACCATAAAAATCTATATTTTTTGGCTGATTTTCAATATAAAACTTCACAAAAACTATCATTTGTCATTTTCTGCTTTTCAATTGTTAGTGGCACTTGGCAAAGTGCAATTCGATACGGGCGTTGGGTGAAACCATCTGTAAAAACCTTCGACTGTAATTTAATCTCTCGGTGTATATATAAATACACGGCGTCACCAGTCTGCTGTATTCAAGCTTCAAAAGCTAAACTCAAGTCAAAAGCACACTCTCACTCTGCACTCTCTATTTCCAAAACTCTACGAAATGGACACCAAACTTGGTTCTGTCGACCACTCTCGGCCGACACCTGGCTCGCCGGCTTGTTCAGATCGGTGTCTCTGATGTCTTCTCTGTTCCCGGCGACTTCAACCTCACTTTGCTTGATCACCTCATCGCTGAGCCTGGACTCAACCTCATTGGCTGCTGCAATGAGCTCAATGCAGGATACGCTGCTGATGGATACGCTAGGTCTCGTGGTGTTGGAGCATGCGTCGTTACTTTCACTGTTGGCGGACTTAGTGTCATCAACGCCATTGCCGGAGCTTACAGTGAGAATCTACCGCTGATTTGTATTGCTGGAGGACCGAATTCAAATGATTATGGTACTAACCGAATTCTTCATCATACGATCGGATTGCCGGATTTTACCCAAGAGCTTCGTTGCTTTCAAACTGTCACTTGCTTTCAGGTACAATATCAAACTTATACATACTCCATTAACAAAATCATAATTGCTTGAACAAACTAAGGTGTTTGGTGTTCGTATCAATGTAATCATTATATGTTCTATAATTATGATGTCTACGATGATACGACATGAAATCTACTTAACATGTAAGATATGATTATGAGTTTATTGTTATTTTGAATATAGGCTGTGGTTAACGATTTGGAATATGCACACGAATTGGTCGACACAGCGATTTCAACAGCGTTAAAAGAAAGCAGGCCGGTTTACATCAGTATCAGCTGCAACTTACCTGCAATTCCTCATCCTACTTTTAGCCGGGAACCTGTTCCTTTTTCTCTAGCGCCAAAGTAAGTTCCACATCCTTCAAATCTCTACAGACATAACTCACTAATGACTAATCATAGTTTCATTCAAATTTTTATAGGTTGAGTAATCAGATGGGTTTAGAAGCAGCAATTGAAGCAGCAGCAGAGTTCTTAAACAAAGCCGTGAAGCCAGTAATGGTAGCCGGACCTAAACTTCGTGTAGCAAAAGCATGCAACGCATTTGTTGAATTAGCAGACTCATGTGGGTATCCTGTAGCCGTGATGCCATCAGCGAAAGGGATGATCCCAGAACACCATCCTCATTTCATTGGAACATATTGGGGTGCTGTAAGCACAGCTTTTTGTGCAGAAATTGTTGAATCTTCTGATGCTTACTTATTTGCTGGACCTATATTCAACGACTACAGCTCTGTAGGCTACTCTCTTCTCCTCAAAAAAGACAAAGCCATAATCTTGCAACCTGATCGTGTAATAATTGGAAATGGCCCAACTTTTGGGTGCGTGTTGATGAAAGATTTCTTGATCGGTTTATCAAAAAGACTAAAAAAGAACACAACTGCTTATGAGAATTATCATAGAATTTATGTTCCAGAAGGTCACCCTCTTAAATCTGCTCCAAAAGAGGCATTGAGGGTTAACGTTCTGTTTCAACACATACAGAATATGCTTTCGGGTGATACAGCTGTCATTGCTGAAACCGGTGATTCGTGGTTCAATTGTCAGAAGCTAAAGCTTCCAAAAGGATGCGGGTAAGTTTCGATTATCTGTTATCTGCTATCTGTTATTTGGTTTTAAAGGTGAGAGGATGATTTGGTTTTTGTAGGTATGAGTTCCAGATGCAATACGGGTCGATTGGGTGGTCGGTGGGAGCGACACTTGGGTACGCACAAGCCGCAACTGACAAACGAGTGATTGCGTGTATTGGAGACGGAAGCTGTTAGGATCGAGACACTTAACACACGACTCTAAACACACACACAGCTCACGAAAAACAAGAACACAAGGATGAACATGAGGGATTTAACGTGGTTCGGTTATTCTCTGACCTACGTCCACCGGTAACTAGGAATTTACATTTCTTGGTGCTAATCTGCACTCTTTCTGTGTTACACTAGATACAAGTTTTACAAATACAAAATAATCTCTTATATAGAGATGGAAATCAGAAGTAGTCAAAAAACACAACTGGGTCTTCATTCAACAATTGTGGCTTCACAACTTCACATTGTTCCTGCCATTTTTGACCAGCTTTTCTGTGGATTCACACTCAACATTTCTGTGGATTCACACTCAACATTTCTGTGGATTCATACTCAACAATCTCCCACTTGAAGCCACGGAACAATCTTCACCTTTGCTTCAACTGTGCATCTGTATTTGATCTTAACTCCTTCCTAGTTACCCTGGCCTTCTCTTCAATTAACCTGAAGGCCAGTTGAAGCTTTCGTTAGCTCCAACGCATCAGTCATGGCTAAGTCTGCCACTGACCTATTCTCTGTCTCCACCGGCTCCCACTTGAAATGAACTGCCCGATCCTGGAACATCCTGAGAACAAACGACACTCTCCATGTGAAGCAGATAATCTGGAGAGACTTTTACAGATGGAATACTGGTTCTCTTAACCCACTGTGTTCTGGGTATTCTAGCTGAAGCACAGCCCTTGCTCCCACTGCTATGAATGCCCTTGACTGGTTTTTCTGAACCGTTCCAAACACGTTCAACCTGAATCTGACCTGTGACTCTGGGTTTGCCATCTGCAAAGCAAACCTTCTTCTGTCCACGAGACTCTATGAACCGGATTTTGTTTTTCTTCTGAACTGGGACGGTTACTCTCTCAGACGGTAAACTGACCATATATAATGAACCCCTCTTATGTCCACGAGCTATCACAAGATTTCCTTTGACAACCTTCCACTGTCCATTCCTGAACTTAACCTCGTGTCCCTGTTCATCCAACTGCCCAACAGAAATCAACTGTTTCTTCAGACTTGGAATTACCCGGACATCCTTCAAAGTCCATGGACCGACTGGAGTCTTCAGATCTAAGTCACCTATGCTCGTCACATCAAGAACCTCATCGTTCGCCAGTCTTACCTTACCAAAATCCCCTTCTTTCAGATTCCGCAGTGCTTCACGGCTGTGGGTAGCGTGAAATGAAGCACCCGAATCCATAACCCAGGAATCCACATTGCTCTCCACACTACAGATCAAAACATCATCATCTGAATGGTCTACTGCAACGTTAACTTCTTTCTTGTCTTTTGGACATTGATTCCTGAAATGTCCAACCTCTTTCCAGTTCCAACAAGTCACATCATTTTGAGTCCTCGACTGACTCCTTCTCCTGTTCCCGCTTCCACTACCTCTGTTATTTCTTCTACCTCTGACCGCATTTAATTGTTCACTTGATGATTCCCCAGAATTTCTTCGTCTGACGTCTTCGCCTAGAATTAAATCCCGAATTCCCTCAAAAGTGAGCTCTTTCGATCCTGCGGAACTAGTAACGGCTGTAACTGTTCCGGACCAACTGTCAGGTAAATGATGATAACAATAGTAAAGCTTGAACTTCGTCCTCAAATTTTATTCCCACTGACCCATGTCTGGATAAAATCGAGTTCAAATTGTTGATGTGTACTGTAACTGAACTTCCTTCCCTCATCCTCGTGTTGACTAGTTCCCGAATCAGGAAGACTTTATTTGCTGCCGACGGCTTCTCGTACATATTAGACAATGCCTCAATGATTCCCTTTGCCGAGGTCTCCTTCAAAATGTTGAAGGCAACATCCTTTGACAAAGTCAGTCTAATAAATGCCTTGGCCTTCTTATCCAAAGTCTCCCAGTTTGCTTGTGTGATCGCCTCCGGTTTTTCACCTAAAACTGCGTCCAAGTCTTTCTGTACGAGCAAATCTTCAATTTGCATCTTCCACCAACCAAAATCTTTCCCATCAAACTTCTCAATCTGAAGCTTACTGCTTTCTGCCATTTTCTGAAAGAACAATGACCTATTTTGCAATTTTCTGGAAATTCAGGGGCTAAACTGCAATTTTCTGAAAGTTCAGGGGCTAAACTGCAATTTTTCAAATCTGCTACAGTGTTGCTACAGTGTCGTCTTCTCCGGCGGAACTCCGGTCTACATTGTCGTCTTCTCCGGCGGAACTCCGGTCTACAGTGTCGTCTTCTCCGGCCAAACTGGTTTTTCCGGTCACTATTCTGGTAACCTTTGACCGGCGATTTGGACGTCTTCCGGTGGTCAAAAAATTCAGAAAAAAATATTTTCGGAATCTTCGGAACGAGACCTTTCCAACGGTATACACCAAAATCGTTTTTGACGAAAAAAAATTTCGACCAAAAACTTAAAATCACCTTCTGGAGCTACAACCTTGCTCTGATACCACTTGTTAGGATCGAGACACTTAACACACGACTCTAAACACACACACAGCTCACGAAAAACAAGAACACAAGGATGAACATGAGGGATTTAACGTGGTTCGGTCATTCTCTGACCTACGTCCACCGGTAACTAGGAATTTACATTTCTTGGTGCTAATCTGCACTCTTTCTGTGTTACACTAGATACAAGTTTTACAAATACAAAATAATCTCTTATATAGAGATGGAAATCAGAAGTAGTCAAAAAACACAACTGGGTCTTCATTCAACAATTGTGGCTTCACAACTTCACATTGTTCCTGCCATTTTTGACCAGCTTTTCTGTGGATTCACACTCAACATTTCTGTGGATTCACACTCAACATTTCTGTGGATTCATACTCAACAGAAGCTTCCAAGTCACGGCTCAAGATATTTCAACAATGATTCGATGTGGCCAAAACACCATCATTTTCCTAATAAACAATGGCGGATACACCATTGAAGTCGAGATCCATGACGGGCCCTACAATGTTATAAAAAATTGGAACTACACTGCTTTAGTTGACGCGATCCATAATGGCGAGGGCAAGTGTTGGACTAGTAAGGTAAGTTGATACATAATTTGTTAGGTTTGGGTTTGGGTTGTTACAAATTGGTATCAAAGTTGGAGTTTTTAGTGGAACTTGTGTTTTACAGGTGTTTTGTGAAAAGGAGCTTGGTGAGGCAATTGACAACGCAACAGGGGAGAAAAAGGATTGTTTGTGTTTTATTGAAGTGGTTGTGCACAAAGATGATACGAGCAAAGAGTTGCTCGAGTGGGGTTCGAGAGTGTCTGCTGCTAACGGATAACCTCCGAACCCTCAATAAGAAATATTTTTACTCTATGCGGCTAGATGAGGATTCACTATGGTTTCATGATGTACAAAGTGTATAGAATCTATATCCTTTGTTGCTATTTTAATTTAGAAAGAATAACAGTCAAATATCTTGAATGTATTCGGCCAAATGTATTGTCTTGCCCATTATATTATGTTTGCATTTTATCTATATATTTTTATTTAGTATAAGAAGATCATTATGGAATAATAAAATTGTCCGTTTATCAAAACCGAGTCTTTAAATCATGGTTATGTTTGATTTTTTTTTATTATAAGTTGCGTGTTTGAAAGGTGAAGGCCCAATTGTTTATCGAGTCGATGATTGTGACTGTCTTTTGAACTTTTGGAAAGAAAAACAAAGCAGCTAACAATGTATGTGATTGGATTAGTTTTGGGATATAGTGTTAGTTTACAATAACATAATTAAAACAAAACGCGGAAGCAAAATAAAATCAAACACCATAATGCCGCCAAAGGATCATATTCATGCATTATAAGGAACTAAACGTAACCTACAAAAAAGGTTTAGAATTACCTTGAAATGGAGAGTGATGGAGATAGGGTCCAAAATAAAACCTTTCTAACAAAGTCGCACCCTTAGCAAGTAAGCAAGCAAAAATGCTCCCGAAAGAATACATGGTCGAATCGAAAAGGTTATAGGTTTCTCTGCAATCCTTCGTTGAACAGGAGGACGAAGAAGAGAAAAAGGGTGGACAAATTTTCAAGTTTTCTAAGTTTTTGGTATGTTTTCTCCTTAGTCCTTAACCATGTATATATGTACGGGATTTATCCATAATTCAAAACATTTCATATTTGAAATAAATAATTTTCTAAATTTTTTATTTATTTAATATTTTAAACGACAAACTAATCTACTCCTAACTATCACCACATATGTCTCAAGCGGACTTGAACCCATGACCTCTTAAATGAGACAGTCAATCCATACCGCTAGGCCAAAGGTCCTTTGGTAAATATGTACCACTTGAAATTCGTAAGTTTCGCATTTAACCATTGTTAATCAAAAAGTTTGCAATTTAGTCCTTAAGTTAGTACGCAAGGCGTACTATGTGGTACGCATAGCGTACTAGCCCGAAGTTGATCGCGGATCCCATCCACGTACGCTGGGCGTACGTGGGCTTTAATGAAACCCTAATTTTTAGGGTTTGCACCCTATTTAAACCTTATAATAGCCTCATTTGGTCATGTTTAGCCAGCCTCCATCTTTCTTTGTCCAGAAATCGAAACCCTAGTGTGTTTTTGTGTGTTTTGAGACTTAAAGAGTCTTTGTTCATGGTTTGTGAAGGAGAAGAAGAAGAGGACCTTTTGGAGTTGTGTCTTGAGCTTGTAGATCTGGGGATAACTCATCATTTGCAAACTTTTTAAGGTAAAAAGCTCACATCTTGTTGGTCCATGATGCTAGATCTAGTTATGTTGTTATTTTATGCTTTTTGAGTTCTTGGAGTGATTGATTAACTTCTTGACTCAGTCCAGAAATTTTGGTGTTAGATCTAGGCTTCTTTTGGTCCCCTTATTCATAAAAATGCAAGCTTTATGGTGTATCTTGGACCATGCATGTATTAAGACCTTTGTTAAGCTCTTTTTGAGCTCTTGTACCCCATTCACTACTAGAAAACTGCCCTTTAATGACACGCAAACAGTGACACGCAGTGATTTAAAATACACATTTTTTGTGTGTCTTAAAAATGACGTTCGTTTTAAAAAAAAATGAAGGATAGAGGACACGCATTTTTGCGTGCCCTAAAATTAGTGTCCAATAAAAAAAAATTTAAAAACACGGAGGGCACCTATGTTAAAATGAGTGCCATGTAGAGATGTCGCTTTATATTTTATTTAATGAAACACGCATTTTCTTCTTTCATTGCTTGGGGGGAAATGAAAATCCTAAAATTTTGAAAGGTCGCCATTTTATCCTCTACCTTATTTCCATCGTTCTTGTCTCTCACTGATCAATACCCCAAAAACCCTAATATCATCACCACTCCTCTTTTCTCGCACAACAAGAATCTATGATGCTGATCATGAAGTTCTCAAAGTGTTCAAAGGATCGGGAATCAAGATCATTATCGGGCTAGGAAACGAATTTCTGAGAGATATAAGCACAAGCCAGTATCTAGCCATGGATTTGGTGAAAAACAACGTCGAACCCTTCGTCCCCGGGACCCGTATCCGTGGAATTGCGTTTAAGGAAACCCTAGTTCCCTACATGAAACCTCTCCTCGAATTCTTCTCACAGGACTTGTACCTTCTTCTACAACATCTCTTTTCTCCTTCAAGGTATGAACTATGAACTACAATTTCCTATTCACTGATTCCAGTTCCATTCATTGATTCCATTCCTGAAATACTTTCAACTTTTGTAGGTAATCGCCGCATGTTCCAAAAATTTAGTATTGACGGTGTTAAATTTGTAGGGGCATTTATATACTTAGAAAGTCACATTCGTAAATCTGTGTTTGATTCGAGAACTTATTCTTTGAATACAATTCCTCTGTTTTCAATTTTATATCTTTTTGACTTCTGTTTGATTCAAATACTTGAAATACACGATAGGGTTCATAATTGATCACAAAGTGCAGGGAGCATAAGGCTCATGGATTTGAAAGAGCCTTCTTCTGGTAATGACAAATTTACCAATGCTCTTACCATGTTTTGAGTTACAACTCCCAGTGTTGTTCCTATTTGTCTCTTATTCATGAACACAAAGACAAATTTATACAACCATCAATTTTAACACCAAACTTACCATCATTCTTTTGTTTAGAAAATACATGTAAGCTAATGCTCATTATTACAGGTATAGTGAAAAGGCTGTGGGAGCAGTAGGAGTCATACATGATCGAAGCAAAGTTCAAAATACTACCTCAAATGAGTTCAATGATGCTATTTACCTGAAGGGGTCGAATACACCTGCCAAATTGTCACCTTCTGTAGACTCTAACAAAGCTCTTAAGCTTTTTAAGAAGATGCTGGATGAGGTACATTTTTCTATCTTCTGTGGCTCTAGTTGACTTCTATTTCCTCTATCATTGCTAATTATTTCTATTTTCGAGAGAAATTGCAACATAAATTGTAGTTATTTACAATTGTTGATGATTACTTATTTTTTATTGTGTTACATGATTGTTAATTGCTTTATCTTGCTGATAGACCTGAGAAACTCATTATATCCATCATTCCAGTTCCTCCTATATGTATTCGTCCTTCTATCCCAGTTGCTAGTGGAGCAATGAGGTGCATTTCAATTACAAATTTATTACTGAATTTGAGCTTTTCTATACTATTGCAGTATTGTGAAGGATTTTCTTTGTGCTTTGTATGATACCATGGCCTCATTAGGAGTGTGTGGAGCCTTAAAATCAGGGTAGCGGCGTATTTACTTGCTTACCCTTGCCCCACTTAGCTCGGCTTTATTGCCTGTAGTAGACATAGTCTTGTGCAATTTAATGCCCTCCTATAGGTTGTAGTAGACATAGTATTGTGCAATTATTTGTCTTGTACTTTTAGTGATTGGTGTAGCTATGCAACTTCCTTTGTTGTCCAACTCGCTAACTCATAAATCATAATACAAGTTTCGCCTTTTTGTATCTAACTAGGTTACATATTAATCCAGATGTTCCTTTTGATGATGTTGTTGTAGGGTGTTTTATGGGATAATCTACTGCAACTTAGTGTTGCACAATATGTAAACAGTGATGTCCGTGTAGCAGATTCATCTCAGCAGAATGGCAAACGAATTACTGGTCTTGTTCAGCACCAAAAAGGTGTTTGCCTAGATTTTTATTTTTTATTTTTTTAGAATGGTGTTTTCCTAGATATGGAAGCTGTTTTATAGACTAAGCACGTGTAATTTTTTTTGTTGCTAATTAGCTTGTATGATGAGCATATGATGAGAAGACATTTTTTCCCAAAAAGTTTAATTTTTCAAAATCTTACATACCTTCTCTGTTACAAATTATGAGAGTTGTTTGTGAATATGCCGTTTAGTAAGGAGCATGTTTATCTATCCTCTATAAATTATTACAACTAGCTATATATACATATCATCTACATAAAGTTATATTCCTTTCTAGACTTGTTTAAAAACTTATGATATTTATTTTTGTAGAACATATAAGTATAAACCGCTATAGAAAGAATTTGCTACAAACCCCTTTGCATGCATTGGGGAAAAGAAAAGAAAATAACCAATGAAAAAGAAATATCGTTATTATTGAACTCTATTTATTTATTTTAGAAAAACTAGCAATGCTTCATTTACATTGCAATGTCGTGATCAAAATTAATGTGTTCTTCCATGATCAACATGCAGTAGACAAGAGTCGTGAAAATAATTTGACCCACAAGCTTGTAGAGGGTGTGTTTGGTTCTTTTTAAAAGGTATGATAACTAGTCCCTAAAACATCATTATTATTACTTCATGGCTTGTAGAAGGCATGTTTGGTTCTTTTCATTTGTTGTATTTTCAGATTTTAAGGTTGTTGATTGTGTGATTAATATTTTTTTTTTGTTTCAGCTAATGCTTCAAGCCCTTACTTGACATCCAAGCCCGCTAGACAACCGCCCATGACACCAAGTTCAACATTTTTTACTTGGTGTACCAGGTGGCAAACTAATGACACAAAGGATTTTTTACATGACATGTGAAACAAGAAGGTGTCCCTTAATAGCAATGTAGTATCAGGTTATATAGTTAGGGAAAACCCCTTGCTAACAATGTACTATCTGATCACCTTAACATCAGTGTATTACAATTTTTTGTTAACTTGATTGACATGATATTGGATGAATTGATTGTTTTGGTATATATTTGTTTCCATATTTTTGTATTATGTGTAAATGAATATCGTAAAGGCATTTCGTAAATGGTTGCTGAATTTTATGACACACAAATGCGTGTCATCTTCATTTATGACAGGTGCTTTAATGATATGAAATGCATGTCGTAAATGTGCGTCGTAAGATTATGACACGCAAATGCGTGTGATCTTCCTTTATGACAGGACCTTCCTTGACACACAATCCATGTCGTAAATGTGCGTCGTAAGTTTACGACATGCAAAAGCATGTCGCCTTCCTTTATGACAGGGCCTTCTTTGACACGCATATGCGTGTCATCTGTGGATTTTACGACACGCAATGCGTGTC